TCTGCCGGAAATGCCTCCTGTCTGTCTTCACGAGGCTCATCCTAGCTTGCCCTTCAGCTCTCAGCTCTGATTTCATCCCCTTGAGGAAACTTTCTTTGACCACCTCCAATTCCTCCCCCCACAATGTGGGTTAGGTACCCCTCACCTAATGCTTATCTTTCTCCTACACTAACACTATCCTAACTCTAATACAGTCATCTCCTTACCAGGCCGACTCCCCAGTTGTTTGTCAAGCTGATCAAAGGTGGGAACTGTATCGTTTTGCTATGGATCCCTACGGCCTGGCGCAGAGCCTCATACATTGTAGGTCCCCTGAGTTCTTTCTCCCTTTTGGTCTGACTGGCAATTCCCACTAATCTTTCACATCACAATTCAGATGTCACCTATTTGGGCACCTACTTTGAGTAAAAGTCTATCAATTGGTGCTCTCATAGCACTTTGTATATATCTCCATTATAGCATGTCTTTCATTCAGCAAATATTTATTGAGTTCTTTCTCTGTGCCAGTAATATTTCAAGCCCTGGGGATATATCAGTGAACACAGTGGATTAAAAATAATCTCTGTTATCATGGAGTTTACCTTTTATTGAGGGAAGACAGACAATAAAAAAAACCCTGATATATAAGTAAATAAAAGTGATGATATATAAAAAGATAAGTGCAATGGGAACAATAGAGCAGGATGGTCAGGATAGATCTTATTGATAAGAGATATTTGAGCAAGACCTGGAAGAGGTAAGGGAATGAGCGAAGCAATTATTTGAAGGAACAGTGTTCCAGGCAGAGGGGACAGCTAGAGCAAAGTCCCTAAGGCAAGAGCTTGTTGGAGGGACAGCAAGGAGGCCAGTGTCGCTCTAACGGAGTGAGCAAGGGGGAGGGCAGTGGGCGATGAGGTCAGAGAGGTGGCTAATGACCAGAGTATTTAGTGTCTTGCAGGCCCCTGTAAAGACTTTGGCTTTTGCAGTGAAATGGGTCGTTGGAGCATTTGGTGTGGTGATGTGATCTGACTCGCGTTTCATAGGATCATCCAGGCTACAGCTGGGAATAGACCCTTGGATGTGGGGGAGGCCAGGATAGAAGCAGGGAGAGCCCTTAGGAGGCTAGTGTAGTAATCCAGGGGAGAGATGATGGTACTTTAAACCAGGGGGTGGTAGTTGAGATGGTCAGTGGTTGGCTTCTGCATACACTCTAATTATATGTATATATGACTGTTTTCCCCATTGGATTGAGTTTCTTAAAGGTGACGACCAGGTCTTCCTTATTTTTATATCCTCAATGCCTAGTACTATGCCTGACACACAGTAGGTGTTCAATAGCTGCTGAATGAATGCATTCTATTTCTCAAAGCATATTATATGGGCTTTGGGGAGCAGTGACCATGTTTTATTCATCTTTGCAATCTCCACAGCATCAACACGAGTGCCTTCCTTGCCCTGGGTAGGTTTTCTCGGCCTCTCAGTTAATGGGTTGATGGAGAATCAATCGCACTTCTCCAGACCCCCAGCCTACCAGGCTAATGGGCAGAAGTAAAGACCTTCTATTGTTCTCTCTCCAACTTCAAATAAGAAAAGTGCCCATCGAAATGTGTCTGAAGACCCAAACACCTTTAAGGTACAGTGTGAAGGAGTAGAGAGAATTTATAGGAGTGAAGAGAGAGCCCCCTCTAACACGTTTCCAAGCAAGGATAGCATTCAGGAGAGGTGCTACAGAGGACCTATGGCACCCTGACAATAGGGCACCAGAACCGAGGGACCCACCCTGTCTCCAGTGCCAACTTCACAAAACCTTTCCGTTGTTCAAGTAAGATAGTAGACGCTCCTGGACGGCACAAGAGGGCTTCGGCAGCTCCACCCACCACAACAATCACGGCATTGCCTGAGCCTTTCTGGGTCAGCAAATACTTCAAGGCCAACTCACTCACAGGGCACACACCTATGAAACCAAAGAGTCAAGTGGCATAATAAAGTTGGTGATTGTGGATGGGGTAAGGGGCTCCTCTGGGCTCTTCATGATGGAGGCAGTTCTGTTTCCTGACTGTTGTTGCTTACACATCCTGGGTTAGCCCTAGGCTGAGGCTGCTCTCGGGTCAGCTACTTGCCTTGGGAGCCTATGTTACTACAGTTGGGACAACACTGAGTTCCTCTGCCTAGTTCCTTTTAGCTCAATAGTACTTAAGCCCATCCTTTCTCTCTCTACCTATGAACCACAGCCTTCCTCCACTCTCCCCAGGCTGACAACACTGTGGAAACTCAGCAGAGCTCTCTCCCCAGGGATGATCAGGTCTAGCTAACACTAACCTGCCTCCTCCATAGAGTACCCTCACAAAGGGGAGCCTTTGGCTGGGGTTTCTGGAGAGTAGGCAGACCTAGGAGCCTACCCAAGTCCAATGGAAATGTAGATGAACCGTGGACTGAGGATGACGCCTTATTGTTCAACAACAGTCAAAGCCTTCCCTCCTTCCTGCTTCCCATCTTTGCCCTGCACTTGACCTCTGTTCTCTCCTGACGTGGCAGAAAATGCCTCCAGTACTCAGTCATGGCCACTGCTCTAGGTTCATGCCAACCTCAGAGGGGACTTGCGTGGTCCCACTTGGCCCCTCCAGATAAATATACCTTACCTTCTATTATTTGGCTTTGGTTGTTTCCTGGAGACCACAAGGATGGATAGTCATCCAGAAAGATGGACATTTGTCACAGTACCCAGGCTTGAAGCCTGACGTGGGGAAGTTGTCATGGATTCTGATGGATGTTTACCCTTTATCCCTTGATGTCTTATGCAAGTTTGAAGGGGTTCCCAAGAGATGAAGGCCACGGGCCAGAAGGGTACCAGCTAGTATGAAAGACTTTCAAATGTCTTTAAGATGCCCTGGGATGAGAGCTGCTGTATAGAGAATTGGCCCAAAGAAGCCTACTGACATCCCAGAAAGAGTCTGGCAAAGTTAATCTGAGCTGCCCCATTCACGCCTGATTTCCCCTATACTTGGGTTTGATATTTGGCTTTTGCCTTCTGCTTTACACTTTGGCTTTGATCTTGAACTCCAGCCCTCTGCTTCCTCCTCTGAACGTATTCCTGGGAACTTTTATGAATGCCCGTAACTTACCCTGCTGCCTAACCAAACGCTGCATCCCAGGTGGTGGACAGAACCTGATGTTTAGTCATATACTCCTGTTACTGGCCCAGTGTGTTCTGGACACATTTTCTACTTCATCCACTTCCAACGGGGAATGACAATTAGACTGACAGTCAGGACTTATTGGGGTTGGAGCCTTGAGGTAGGTCAGGGAATGGAATGATTTCTGATACTCACCCAGTGACATTACGTAGTCTCGCACAATTGGGAGCCAGAAAATCCCTTCCAAGGTCCCTACAGAAGGAGTGATGCCCGGGAAAATCTGAGCAAAGCCAGTGGCCTCAGTGGCAAAGTTGATGAAGACACCATAAGAGACAATGCCATGCGGGTGGTTGGCAATGATATAGTTGTTTTTGGGAGAGAGTTCATGAGTCTTCACCAGCTGTTAGATGGAGATGGAGTCAGAAGAGTGGACAGGAAGAAGGAAGAGAGGACATGTGAACTTAGACCCCAGCAGATAGACTGTGTTTCCCTTGGGGAGCCCCAAATTCCTGTTCATTGGGATGTCATCGTTGTCATAGGATTACCAGGGGTTATGATGCTCAGAGAGGATGACCGGAGTTTGTCACTGTAGGGAAAGGCTGCTATTCTTCCATCTCCTCACCTGCGCATCCATCTTGGGCCCCTAATCTGCATTATGCCTCTGGCCCTTGACCTTCACTATGGCCACCAAAGCCTTTGAAAACATGGAGCTGAGAGGTCAGGGAGAGACTGGGCACCAGGGACTGAGTGCCCCCAGAGGAAAGGGTAGTCACCTTTACTGGGAAGTAATTCCCGAAATACTTCCAGAGAGTCCAATTTCGTACCCAAGCTGAACGCCTACCACCTGTGAGTACAAAAGGAAAGGGAAGAAGGGTGGGTGAGATATTGTCACGTCTTCTACGTTTTGCAGAGGTGGAGGGTTTTCTACAGTCCTCAGGTCACAGGAACGCCCCCTTCTCACACTTCTGTATTTCCGGGGCACAGAGCTGTAGGTACTGTCTCTGAATCCAACCCCCCAGAGGACATAGGGAAGCCCCCCTCCTCTGAAGCCAGCCGTAAAGGTAAGAGGGAGACAGTGTGAGGCTGGGCATCTGTGCAGAAACCTCGACCTTCTAATTTCACACCTCTTGGGCTGCCTGGCAGGGACTGCTGTTCCTTGCTGAGCTTTCTTCCCCTCTCTCCCTCCCGTTTGCATCTCCCCTTCTCTCCCCCTTTCCACCACTTCCCTCCTTTCCTTTCCCTTTCCCTCCCCACCCCTTCTCCCTTTGCCTCTCCTACTCTCTCCCTCCACCTCCTCCTTGTGGGACCAACCAGGCATAGACAGGGACCACCCCTCTTCCCGTGCCTCTTACCTTGACTGTGGGTGTTCCAATCATAGGCGAGCCAGGTTAAGGCGAGCACAGACAAGGCCCAGAACTTAGTGTACACCAGAAAGTAGGGTATAAAGAAAACAGGAATAAGTCCTGAGGGGGCACAAAGGGTTCACGCACGTCAGTTCTCTGAAAGTTTAATACACCTCTCATAACCCCGGTCTCTGCTCTGTACAGAAGGAGCAGGTCAAGGCTGGCGCGAGACCCATCTCTCCCTCTTCCCCCACCCCACCTAGTTCTGCTGTGGTCCAGGCTGTCTGCTGAGCCCCTGAATCTCGGTCCCCTTGATGGCTGAGATCTTAACCGAGTAAACAGCAGAATCATGACATTCTCAGAGCAGACCCTGAGCCAGGGTCAAAGCCTGCACTATTGGCAAGTGGAAAGAACAGTACCTCGGGCCAGTGGCTGGCATCCCCATCTGGGACCTCAGAGGTTCATTCTAAAAGCTTGCCCTTCCTGCCTTTGTGGAACTGCTAAGTCAGCACATTCCAGTGGAGAGGGGCTGCCTGCAGTGTACAAGCTGTTTGATGCTGAGAGGAAAATACATATTAGAAACTGCTTGACTGCATTCAATTTTGTCCCATTCAAAATGTGTCAAAGGTTCATAAGGGGAAAAAATGATCTCCGTTAGCAAACAGAGGGCCACAGCGGGCCATGAAATGCAAATGTGATACATGTTACAGGGGTGGGAATTGAA